ACCACCTTCATTTTTCTTTCAAAATCTCTCTCAAGAACTTCCTATTACTCCTTAAGATTTCGTGACTTTGGTGTGTGATTTCAAGGGGATTGCATCAAGTTCATCACTCTTGGTAATTTTCCATCATACATAAGTTATTGATTTTTATTTTTAAGCTAAGAACACTCCCTTACGTGGCTTCATTTATGTTCTAGCTTTCTAGGACCATCTAAGTTTCAAAACTTCTTCTAAAGAAGCACTCAAGGCCGAAAACCACATCATCTCCTTCCATATCTTCATCAAACCGAGAACAACAGCCCAAAGTGAGTTCATACCCCTTGTTTTTGGTTTTAATATGTTTTGGGGGAGAATACAAGTTGCTTATGTGATAGATCTATGTATTGTGCATGTTTATGTGTGTTTTTCTTGTTATAAGTTGTGCAAATGTGATGAAACACTATAGATCTCGAAAACTCCAACAAAAACTGGTGAGATTTGTAAACTAAAACACTTTAAGCAACATTCTAAAAAGATGAAAGTGTTAAACATGTTAAAGTTGTTGAAAAACTAAACAAAATCTTATATAACGACTGTTTTTGCCAAATAAACAAAAAGTTGAGACTCTTATGACATTTACGGTTTCATAAGGACTAAAAGAGTCAAATTTATACAAAAATGGGTCCTTATGATATTCTTAGTGTTAAAAGGGCCAAAAATGTAAGTTTTTGCATAATGGGCCTTAATGTGGGCCTTTACGGTTTCTTGCGGCCTAATTTGTAAGAATTTCGATTTGTATGGATTGAATTGTTATTTAACACAAATTCAGCAAAAAAATGTAACTTACGGTTTTTATAGGCTGAAAATGACACTTTATTTGAAATTGGGCCTAAAATGTTCTTTTCACAAAACTTGGGCCGAAAGTGTCATTTTTATCAAAAATGGGCTGAATATGTAAATTTTTGCAATAATGGGCCGAAAATATCAATATATATACTTGGGCCAAAAATGTCAATTTATAGATAATTGGGCCGAAGATGTCAATTTTCATAATATTGGGCCAAAAATATTATTTTAACCAAAGTGGGCTAAAAAATGTCATTTTATTTGAAATAGCCTATAAATGTATATTTTTGGTCTTAAGGGACCTAAACTTACTAAAAATAAGCCTAAATTGTAGAGTTACGACTTAATGGGCCAAAAATGTATTTATTACAAAAAGCGGGCCTTTTTCGTCATTTTGGTAAACCATCAAGCTAAAATGAACAACATTATAACAAACAAACAAAATACATCGATTCCATGTTTATTGGGCCTAATACTCATAGTACATGTTTATTGGGCCTTCGTGGCCACTTTACATGCTTATTGGGCCTAATACTTATCTTACATGTTTATTGGGCCTTAAGGGTCCATTTACATGCTTATTAGGTCCAGAATGTACAAGACATGCTTATTGGGCCTTTATGGCCTATATACATGCTTATTAGGCCTCTACTATGCATTACATGTTTATTGGGCCTTAGTGGTCCCCCTACATGTCTGTTGGGCCTCATACATTCACACACTACTCGTTGGACTTTTCAAATATAAATCGCACTCAGAAAAACATTATACATAACATGATATCATACTCGCGTGAACACAGTTAAGGATCTAGTAAGATATGTCTGTTGACACCTTTAGAGTGTACGATCGTAGCCTGTAGTTACAACTAGAGTCTCCTAGAGGGAGAGCAGGAGTTTGTGTATAGATCTATACGGGGTGACTCCCCACACCTGAACTGTTCGCTACAGTTAGACTAGGCCGATCTAGGGTGACAAACCTTACCTTAATCAAGTCGACGCCTGAAAGCGTCACGACATGCGAATTCGTCATAAATCAAGTATGGTTAAAACGGCTCACTTAGAGATTCTCTTCAACACGATTTTAAGGAAAACCTATAATACTTGTTGATACAAAAACATACATACACTGATATTTGGTCTTAGGGTTGAGACCGCAACACTCTTATAAACAGAAAATATAGGATTTTCTGGAGAAACACACAATTAAACACTATTTTTTACTTACAACAGGAAATACATGATTTTTATCTGGATTGCATCTTATTATACAAAAACAAAAAACACACATGCATTAATACTTGATTTTGACACATCACGTTCAAACAATTTTTTAAAAAATATCGGATTTTCTGGTGTTTTACTAACAATACAAAACTTTCATTCGAACATGCTTATAAACTCACCAACATTATATATGTTGACGTTTTCAAAATAACTTGTATTCTCAGGGAATCATTAAGTGGAAGGATCTTCAAGAACATGTGGAATTTGTTGAATTTTTGTTATCATCATACATTGATTATTTTGGCATGTAACTTATGATACTATACTTGATGTAAACAATGTTGGTTGTATTGTGATATGTATGATGATGATTTTGTCTTGTTTCAATTATATACATTGTGATGATATCCCAAGTTAAAGTCACTCGAGCCCCAAGACGTTTTCGTCGTCTGGTTCGGGGGTGTGACAGACATCAGTTTTCTGGTTACTTACGGAATCAAAAAGTTAGAAGGTCATTTACCTTCGAATAATTCCAGTAATCCAGGTGAATATCTTTGCAATTCCTATCATTTAATTTGAATTATCGTTTAGGAAACCCTAATACCACTTTTGGTATCTACAGAGTTCATTGTTTATTCAATTTCGTAGGAATTCATGGGACCAGTAATTTATGAGAGACATATTTTCTAAAGAATTCACTCCTGAGCTTTTCATTTTTGATAATAATAGGATAAATACAGAGTATATATTTTTTTAATCATCAGTAAGTTTTCTTTTTGTCAAGGAAGGAAATAAATTATGACTAATTCGGTAAACTTACTTCATGTGCTTGAACGTGAGCAACAAAATCTATCCATGCCCCCACCAAGAAAGTATTTATATGTAAGATTTATAAGTAAATTTGGCTGAATATGCAGCCGATACGGGTAACATCGTTGAAGATAAAACACCAGAGATATATGTTGAATATGCATTGTACATTAATGCTCCTCTATCTGGGCTTCCCATGAGAACAACGTTTCTGTAGATTTCTGAGATTATCATACCAACTAGTATCCACATCTCCCTTATACATGATTCCTAGGTAAAGAAGTTATGTCGACAACCAGAAGATATGAGTTGTTAGATTTTCATTAGTGCAATCATACATAAGTTCTGCTTATATTGACAAAAAGTCGTGTTTTGGTGCTTAATTGATTATGTATTTGGTTTTTCTTACTAGGTAGCTTTGGGTTTTCACTTTTCAGCAAAGAATACGTTATTAATTGGAAAAAAATATCTTTTCGATACTACTTCAGACAAGAAACATGAAGCACTTGATTTGTCTAATTTTGCCTATTAACTCAGAGATTGAGCACTTTTGGAATTCAACATCAACAAACAAAATTTCAACATCTTTAGGTACAAAATCTGCTACTGGCTCAAACAAGATGAAATCAAACGATTTAAACTCCAAAAGAACCAAGAATTTTTACACCAGGAAATCTCCTAATTACACTTTGTGCATGAAGTCAAGGAAACATTCCACACCTTCTATTCCTAAGTCTATCCTTCAGTCACAACATTTCAAGTCTCTCAACAAGGTATGTGTTGATATTTGGGCTAAAAGAAAGAAATGCACTTGCAATGATTGTTTTTAATGATTTTGTTTTAGTTGGGTTCTTCAAAAATGGTATCAACAATCTAAAAACTTTTTATCATTTTCTTACCCAAATCATGCCCCATTTTCAAACTACTATATAAACTATTCTTCTGGTGGAAGACTTTGGAAGCCAATTAAATGCTAGAATAAAAAGCCATAAGGGATTTATAACCAAATATTCAGAATAAAATGGTTGACTTTTTAAGATCGGTGATGTAGTATTGATACTATGCATGTTTTTTTTTTCTATTTAATAGATTCCAATTACCTTGTATGATCTTTTAAGCTCATCAACATCTTCTCCTATCCCATGTTCAGACCAAAGATGTTCTCAACATGGTCGGTCTTGTGATTCCATCTTTGCAAATAATTAGTATACTTACACATTCCATTATAGAGATGGAAGTGGAACATCATGTTATCTGGACGATAGTTGATTTTAATGTCATTTTGGTTGTAGTTTAAGATACAAGGGGGCGATTTAGGAAGGCGGATGTGGACCCAAATCTAGGTAAAACGTATTTTGTATAACTGTACGAATGGCTTAAGTATGATTTTTTTACCAATTGAGATCTTACATTTTTTATGATAGGTTTGGGAAAGCTTTGTTGGAAGAGATTTAATACAAGTATGACAAAAGATTGTCACTAATTTGGAGTATGCTTTGGTTTTATTATGGATGTTTATTATTTTTTTTTTCCGATTTAATAAGGTTATTTTGTTGGAGCATGAAATGTCACACATTCAATAAGGTTATTTTATTAAAACTCTAACCATGAACTACAAAACTCATAAAGGATATTGAAGCACCAAACCGGTCTTTAGAAATGGTGCACCAACTAAACTGTATAAACAAACCCTATCATTAGAATTGGGCCAAAGCCAAGAATAAAAATTCAATATCTACACACAAAACCAACGTAGAGAGACGCGATATTTGGCTTTGTATTTGTCCATCTTAAAATACATTGTCTATATTTGGTTAATGATGTTTTCTCAAACAATATAGAAGTAAACCTTAAATTGAATAACATCATTGAAAACATTTTTTTTTTGAACTTGTTTTGCTATTTATACAAGAGAGCAATTGATACATTATTATTAGTATAATTAAAACCCAACTTAAACTTTAATAATAATAAATAAAAAGTTACGGACGCCGACAGACGCCAACAACTTACCAACTAACCCAACCTTAAACGTTAAACCCCAACAATCCATCTCTCTTGTTTTCCCAAAAAGATTTCGGAAACCATGTCCGAAACCTCCATGATCAATTCAGCATTAGAAAAAGAATGCCAAATTCAAATTTACATGCTCATTTGCCCATAACTCTTCTTCCATTGGATGGCAATCGGGCTTCTTACATTGTGCACTCCATCGCTCCATTCAATGGCGCCAAACACCGCACTTCCACCACCACCGGAGCTGAAAGTGATCTCATATTCCACTTCTTTTTTCTCTTCGCTAAACTCAAGCTTCGCCGGCGACACAACCACCTCCACCCCCTGTGGAGCACTCACTCTCACCTTATAAACCGCATCCACCTCACTCCCTACGTTCTTCACAACCCTCTTGTACTTCACAACTCCGCCGGTTTTGGAATCAAACACAACAGAAAAAGATGGGTAGTTTAGATCGCCGGGGTTACTGAACTTTCCGGCACTGCAATCCACTGGATCTTTTGTAAAAGTAGCTATTTGCTTGGAGTCGTATCCAATGGCGCAAAGGAAGGACAAGTAATCATCGACTCCGGCGTCGTATACCAAACCTGGATTAAGGGCTCTGTTTGGATCCACGTGTCCTGATCCGTGAACGAACGGTGTGGATTGTTCGCCGGTGGCAAGGTCGGTAATATTCTTTCCGGTGTCGTCTAAATAATAAGCGGTGGTCATGAGTGCAGATTTTATAGCAGCTGGTGTCCAAGTCGAGTGGGCCCTACGAAGCAATGCGGCTAGGCCACTCACATGAGGACACGACATTGATGTACCTGATATAATATTGAAATCAACCCGTCTAGAGTCGATATCCAAATCGGTCGGGCTGGTGTACCCGGTCCAAGCGGCTAGAATGTTAACGCCGGGAGCAATCACGTCAGGTTTGATGATCTCCGCCGTGCGGTAGTTTGGCCCACGGCTTGAGAATGAAGCCACACGCGGTGCTGATGGTGATGTACCGATGACTGTTCCTTTGAAGACAATCGTCGCCGTTGGAGTCGGATTGGATTTTAAATATTCTTTTATCTTATCTCCACCTGCGGCACCAACCATGGTTGCAGGTAGGAGATGCGCATCGGCGAGAAGCTCTTCACCGTTCTCGTCTAAGTTTGTATGGATCATTCCGACGCCTCCGGCTATTTTAACGGCGCTTCCCTTTTCAACCCTGGCGTTGCCTCCACGATCGCATATCACGATTTTGCCGGCGACTAGTGTGGAGTTTAGTTGTCCGGAGTAACAGTATCTGCTACCACAGTCCCCTGCGTAAACTAGAGGATACTGAGTGTCGTCAAGTCCTGAACCGGAGTAAAGAGATACCCCACCGTAAACCCTCCCATCACCTAGAACAACGTCTGCCGGAAATTCTCTGTCGATTGTGGAAGCTCCGACCGTAAGAATCCAAGGAGCGATGTTAGTTGCAGTATAAGGATCAGGGCCGGAATTTCCTGCGGAAGCGGAAAGGAGAATACCGTGTTGCATCGCTCCAAAAGATCCGATAGCAATGGAATCTCGGTAGTACTGAGGAGCATAACCAGAAGATCCTACCGATAAAGAGATGATGTTTACACCATCATCGATGGCTTGGTCCATGGCGGCAAGTATATCGGAATCATAACAGCCTTCGCTCCAACAGATCTTATAAACAGCAATCCTAGCCTTAGTAGCCATACCTCTGGCTTCACCTCTTGCAAACTCAAAAAATCCGGCATCCTTCACAATCGCTCCGGCAGCCGTAGAAGCCGTATGAGTTCCATGACCTTCCGTGTCCCTAGGAGAAAGAGTACCACCAGTTTCATTCAACCGGCTTCCAAGACTTGCTGTATAACCTCTATAATATGCCTTAGCCCCAATAATTTTCCGATTACATGCCGTCGCAGGAAAATCCGACGTGGTTTCACAACTACCTTTCCAAGTAGACGGAATCGGTGGTAGTCCTTCGTCTGAAAAACTCCCTCGTTCAGGCCATATCCCGGTGTCAAGCACTCCAACAATAACATCATCACCATATTCCGAGTTCGGCCAGATACCAAAAGTATCCGCCAAACCAAGGAAGCTAGGTGTATGCGTGGTATGAAGCGTTCTCCGGCGATCAGGGATCACAGAGAGTATCCCCGGGAGACGACGGAGCTTGGCAGCCTGAGCTCGAGTCAACCTAACAGAGAATCCGTTGACAGAGCGTTCGTAGGTATAAAGGATGTCAGACGGTTGATGAGACGTCGAAACAGATCCGACGATGGAGGAGTACCACCGATGATGAGTGGAAAACGTGGTAGGTTTCTCAGATTTTGAAGCGTGGATGATATAAGTCTTTGTTTGATCGATTGATCGCGTCTTAGTGGAGACAGTCACAGATACACAAGAGAAAAACAAGAAACAAAGGAGAAGAAGAGGTGGGAGTGAAGTCGCCATTGTTGGGTATCTTGAATATCCTTGGGGAAAAAAGGAAATATGAAGATAAGAAGGCACAGAAAAAAGATTAAAAATTTAAAAGTGGGAGATTGAAACACGTTGGACTAATCGATTGGTTGATCTAAATGGGCCACTTGTAAGTATTACCTACCACTACGCTACTTGTAAAATAATAGGACAGCCAATCAATCGTACTAGTCATTCACGATTAGATATTATTTTTAAATTTATTTAAAGAACGAATTCTATTATATATTTATAATCTCCCCTTTAGTTTATTATTTATTTACAATTCCACCCCGAAAGTTTAGGGAATATGACTTATCAAGGTATGTTCACATCTGGGTAACTATCTTTTTTTTGTACATATGTAGGTAACAAACTTTTTGGAAGTGTTCACATATGACCATTATGATCTGCTATAGCAGGTTAAATCCTAGATGTGAACTCTTTCAACAAGTTTGTTACCTAGATGTGTACAAAAAAATAGTTACCCAAATATGAACAAAATGAAAATTAAAAATTAAATTACATGAATGGTCCCTGTGGTTTGGGGGAATTTGTGGTTTTTGTCCCTAATTTATTTTTTTAACTTAAATGATCCCTACTATTTATTTTTGTTGCGCGTTTGGTCCCGTCTTACCTAAAAATACTATTGTGCCCTTATTAATTTATTATTTTAATTAATTTTCTTATCTATGTATTTATTTTATACATATTTAAAAAAATTAATAGACCACACATATTTGTATCTCATCGGATGATCTCTACTGTTTATTTTGAATTAAATTTTTTTTTTTTAACTTGGATGATCCTTACTGTTTATTTTTGTTACGCGTTTGGTCTTTGTCTTATCTAAAAATACTATTTTTCCCTTATTAATTTTTTAAATTAATTTTCTTATTTATGTATTTATTTTTTTATAAAAAAATTAATATACCCCAAATATATGTATCTTATCACTGTAAACCTGAAACCACATTTGAGAAATTTAATTTGAGTCTTACCATTCACCATCTCATCTCTGATCCTCCCCATCTTCTATTTCTTTTCCATCTTTAGTAACATCAACGTCTTCACCGTCTTTTTTTTTTTTGGTACTTCAACTCTGGAGAACCAATACCATAACCTACTGTCTCTTCATATTTAGTGGGTTGTAGTGTTGTTTCGACGGAGTTGAAGGACCGAAAAAAGAAGTGATGATGAAGACGTCGATATCACTAAAGATGAAAAATAAATAGAAGTTGAGAATGATGAAAGATAGGATGGTGAGGAGATACAGATATGTGAGGTCTACTAATTTTTCTTAAACATATAAAGCATAAGTACACAAACAAGAAAATTAATTAAAAAAATTAATAAGGGCACAATAGTCTTTTTAGGTAAAACAGGGACCAAGTTCGTAACAAAATTAAATAGTAGGGACCATCCGAGTTAAAAAATTAAATTAATTAAAAAATAGATAGTAGGGATCATCCGATGAGATACAAATATGTGTGGTATATTAATTTTTATAAATATGTAAAAAATAAACATAGATAAGAAAATTAATTAAAAAAATAAATTAACAAGGACACAATAGTATTTTTAGGTAATATGGGGACCAAACGCGCAACAAAAATAAACAATATGAACCATTTAAGTTTAAAAAAATAACTTAGAGATCAAAACCACAAATTCCCCCAAACTACAGGGACCATTCATGTAATTTAATTTTTACTTTTCGTTTTGTTCACATTTGGGTAACTATTTTTTTGTACACATCTAGGTAACAAACTTGTTGAAAGCGTTCACATTTAGGATTTAACCTGCTATAGCAGGTCATAATGGTCATATGTGAACACTCCCAAAAAGTTTGTTACCTACATATGTACAAAAAAAAAAAAAAATAGTTACCCAGATGTGAACATACCGAAAAGTTAATTACCTTGATAAGTCATATTCCCGAAAGTTTATTATAATTGTAACTATAAATAATATTTTTGACTTATTTTATTGGTTTTTTTACATTATTACATATTATAATATTTTATAATTTTAAAACGTAGAACAATGAAATAAAAAAATATTATAAATGTAAACAAAGAGATTAAAATATATAAATAATGTTTTAACGTACCAACTTGTTAACTCATGAACCCGAATATAACCTGGGAACACATATAATTAAACGGGTTAGACGAGTTACGTTCGGGTTGATGTTTACAACCCGTCAACCCAAACTCGATAAATGATGTAAGACACGACGTTAAGGTAAGGTAAGAAAACAAAAAAAAATATCCCATGAAAAAACTCAATTGTTTAATTACCGGTGAAAAAAACAAAATAAAAAATGCTACTTGAAAAAAACTCATGCCATGATGTGATAAGGCACATACCGACACATTAGATTTGATGTTCTTTTTGACCAATTAAACCGAACATAAATTTGATTTTATTAGAGACGGCTATTGGCCAAAAAGTTCAAAACCAAAACCACAACGAGGCTCTAGTCTCATTGTTTAGAAGTTTTGCAGTCTAAGGGGTAGTTTGGTAGAATCTGAATTTTTAAGATCTTAATTTTTAAGAAATCTGAATTTCTAAAATGGTCTGAATTTTTAATATCGTGTTTGGTTGGAACATCTGAATTGTAATCTGAATGATAAAAATAATCATTTTACCCTTATGTAGTTATGTGTAGTGCTAAATGATAAATGTATAATTGATAAATTCTTCCAAATTAACTTCTTTCAATCCATGAAAACCTAAACATCATACAATACAACCAAATTATATATAAATTCTTCTACATTCACTTCTTTCAATCCATGGAAACATAAATATCATATTCTTTCAATCGATGAAAACATAAGTATTATACACTAGTCAAATAACGGTTAAAAATCACATGAACTAATGATTCAATAAACAGTTAAAACTTAATCAAAACTTGCAGTTTTGCAATACTTTGGCAATTAAACACCTTGTTGAGGCAATTTAATATACACATGGTAAGCAATTCAAAATGGTTTGTTTAACAAAACTTCAAAATCATTGATTTGTTGAGGTACATAATATTTTGTTACTTTAATGTGTTGTTGATTTGAATGGGCTTCAAATGTGGTGGTGCTTGTGATCTGAGCTTCTTTGCTTGGTCATACAAATTGTAATTGAAATAATTACAAAGTAACAGGTTCAAGAGTGTTTAGGAGTGTTTTTCCTGTGCATCATACATTTCAAAATTCATGAATCACATTACCAATAATGGTCATAACAATAGTTATAATAAACAAATCTGAGAGCCAATTTCACGATATGATCAAACAAACAATGATAGAGATCAAATTTTAAGAGATTATTATGCTAGAAAATTGAAGGCGTCGTAGATGAAACCGATTTAGAAGGAGTTGTTGGAACTCGATTCAGGGCAAGAACTAACTTTCACGATTTTTAGGTCTCTATGAGATTTCACGGAAGTGAAGTGTGTCGTTGCCGATGAGGCGGGTGGAAGCGATGGCGGAGACAGAGGCATCGACGATGGTAGAGGGTTGTAGGTCCGACTTGCAGTGGAAGAAAGAAGGTAGGTTGTGTCGAGTGAAGTAGAACGAAAAGAAGAAAATAGTTGGGGTTCACTGCAGAGTCATCGCTAGTTATGGAGGAGGGTGAATGTCGGAGGTGAGTCTCATACAAGATGTTTCACCGAGGGTCTCACAGAGGAATAGAATGGAAGCATAGTAGGGAAAATGGGCAAGAAGATGATGTTGACGTTTTGTTGGAAAGGGTGGGAGGGAAAAGCAGAGCAATGGGTAAAAAAGGAACAAGCATCTCTTATTTCTTTTTGAGACTCTCTTCCATATCTGAAATATTAAGAGGCTTATAAAATATTAAGAGGCAAAAAATAATAGCCTATCAAACAAGTTATATCTAAATTTTTAAGAAGTTACGTCTTAAATTTTCAATTAAGAGATAAACAAACTGGGCCTAATAGTTGCAAAAAATAGTTTATATATATATATATATATATATATATATATATATATATATATATATATATATATATATATATATATATATATATATATTCTTTAGCAACAAGAATATTTCTTTTTAATCGCTCTACCATTTGGTCCATATTTTTATTTTAATTAATTTTTGAAATGGTTTAATTTTTTTTTCTTTTTAAACCAACAAATATAAATGTATAATCTACTCCTAAATTAATATATAAATTTCACTTATATCCACGACGACACTTGAACTCTCAACCTCAAAGAGGGAAGACATCATCTGATACCGTTGGGTTAGAAATCCTTTGATAAAAAAAGTTGTTAACCATAATATTTTAGCAAAAAGAATATATCCGGGATTTTAATAATTGATTTTGGATTAACCTATATAGAATCTTATATGTATATCTATACAAGATTAAAATATTAATTAATACATGTTTGGATGTTTGAAATGTATTACATTTTATTAAATTATAAAGTTAAATAATGTAAACAAACAAAATGTAATTTTTTAGAATATATTAATAAGCGAACGCAAATGTATAAAAAAAATAATGTAAACATGTAAACAAACAAAATGTTAAAAAAAACATTAAATAAATAATTAATATCAGATGATTGATAATTACTTGTGTTTTTAACTTAATTTGTGTAACAAATCAAAATGTCAAAAAAATAATGTTATATAATGTTAATGTAGTAAACGTAAATAAAATATATTAAATGAAATATATTTGATCGCAACGTCAAAAAATTTAAAACATTTAAACCGGAAAAATAATGTTATATAAATTAAAACAATAATAAATAATAATATGATTTTATATAATTTAGATAATTGATTTTAAATAATTAAAATAGTTTTATAAATATTATATATTAACTTTATTAAAATAAAGAACAATAATAATAATAATTAAAAAGTTAGATGAGATTGAAGTGATGGTGGAGGTTCATTTAATTGTTTTGGAAGGTTTAACAACCCAAATTCGCCCATACCATTTTTGTACC